GGGGGCGGGTAAATGTAGCAGGAGTGGGAGATGAGCATATGGGGGCAGGTGAATGTGAATGGGGGGGGAAGGGGAGGGAGACCCTTTGATGTGTCTAGTTGACTAGCGTCTCCCTTGCTCAGGCATGGACAGCTGGGCCACGGGACTCTGGAGGCAGAGCTGGAGCCCAGGCTGTTGGAGGCGCTGCAGGGCCTGGCCATGGCTGAGGTGGCCGCAGGGGGCTGGCACTCTGTGTGTGTGAGTGGTGAGTGACCTAGGGCTTCTCTAAACCAGCTCAGGGTCTTGTTGGCTCCAAACCTTCCTCTTCCTTCCTCCTCCTCTTCCAATTTTGCTGAGTGGCCTAGCCAGGCCTCCTTCCCAGCTCATCCCAGATCAGCCAGCCCAGTCATTCATGACTCCTAAATGCCACTCAGATTCAGTGCCTTTGCCACCGCCATCTCCCCTCACACGGGGGCTGCTGCAGGTGGTTCCTACCTGTCACTGGCCTCACCGGCCCTCCCATCCACCCGCCCCCAGCCAGGGCTATATTTCTAAAATACTTCTTGAGGGGGCAGCCGAGCCAAGGAAAATGGAGAAGAAAGGCTGCAGTTGCCCACATGCCATGATGTGTGGCACACAGTAGGCACTCGCATCCCCACAGGGAGGAAGATGGTGGTGAGTGTGAGGCCTGCTGTTGTGCCCAGAATGAGGAGTTTCACTTTAAATTGTGTTGAGGCCCCCACCCTGGCAGGTGATCCAGGTGCAGCTGTTCCTAGGCTGTTGGGGGGTGCTGGGAGCAGATGAGCTTTGCAAGGATCTGCATCTGGAGCTTTGGCTGCCACTTACATCACGAGGGTGCTTTCAAAACTACCTGTGCCTGCACTCTCTCCTCATATTCTCAGGCAATGGGCCTGGGTTGACAGCCAGGCTCGAGAACTCCTGGGCTAGAGGGAAAAGAAGAGTGGGCTGGAAACAGAGCCCAGTGGGAAGTCTCACACTAAGGAGGAGGAATTTGAAGCCTTGAGTTGGGTATGGTGGTTGAGCACAGATGCTTCAAACCAGGCTTCCTAGGTTCAAAGCATCACTCTGCCCCTTGTGACCTCAGGCAGAACACTAACCTCTTCATGCCTCAAGTTGTCTTGTAAATAAAATGGGAATATTGTGTAAAATTGGGATATTGTCATATAACCCCCTGTAGAGCTGTTATGAGAATTAAATGATTATATTTGAAAACTGCTTAAAACATTGGCACAGATTAAACACTTGATAAAAATGAGCTACTGTTGTTAGTGAACTTTTAGCATTAGGGCTGTTGTTCCAGCCAACAAACTGTAGTGTTGTGGGAGGCGAGAAAGGTGCGAGCTTCAGCAGGAGGCTTCAGCAGGACCAGTGGTGAGTGGGGCTGAATAAAGGGCCATGGGCTCAGTGGATTTGAAAAGGAGCCTGTTGGGGAACTTCCAGGGATACATTTCCGAAGTGTGTGTGGTAGGAGGTGGAGAGGGGGGCAATTTAGCAACAAAGGGGAAAAGTGAAAATGGAGTGGAATGTCCAGTGAGAGACTTCCTTTAAAGAAAAGGGTGACCAGAAGGCACTTGGTGGGGAGGGAACCTGTGATGACCAGGAAGCTGCTGGCTCGAGGGAGGCACTCTGGAGGGCGAACTTGGCAGGGCAGACCTTAGTTGTCCCCAGGGAGCTAGTAGGGTGTAGGGGAGTTTGGAGGGATGCAGGGGGCTTAGGCAGAGTGGGGGTTCACAGTTTGTTTAATGGGTCCCCTTTATCTTTCTTTCAGAGACTGGAGATATATATATCTGGGGCTGGAATGAATCAGGACAGCTGGCCCTGCCCGCCAGGAGCCTTGCAGAGGATGGAAAGACAATCGCGGGGGAAGGTGAGGGTCAATTCTTGACTTTCACACATTTCTTTCGTTCCTGACTCCTGGCCATATGCAGGCCTTGAAGTTTATAGTGCTCAGAAGGGACATGTGACATCCTTGGGACCCCAAGACACCCCACAGGACTTGAGCCCCTTATGGGAAAGAGCATGGCAAGGCTGATGCCAGTGTCAGCACTACACTCGGCACAAACTTGTCAACTCCAGCACTTGGGGAATGCAGGGGTTGGGAGCATCAGCTTTGGGGCTAGAGGATAATGTGCTTCATTGAGCTGTTGTATTGAGTGAGCTAATGTATGTCTTATTGCTTCTCTGAAGCAATTGGACTGAATGAAGATGGTTCTGAAGTGAAGAGAACAGCTGGAGGAGAGGATGGCACCCCTTCCCCGTTCATAGCCGTGCAGCCCTTCCCAGCTTTATTGGATCTCCCCCTGGGCTCAGATGCCGTCAAGGCCAGCTGTGGATCCCGGCACACAGCAGTGGTGACAAGTGAGTGGGGCTGGGTGGGCTGGTTCAGGATGGAGCAGGAGGTCACTCCACCCCCCTCTCTAGCTGGTGGCTGCAGAAGAGGGTGTGATCACCTAAAAAACTATTTTAAGCGTCTTTGACATGTACTGAGTAGCTACCTCAGTGAATAAAGCCCTAACCCCCACGTAGCTTTAACAGTGACTCCCAGCCTGTCAGGCTGAGAAGGTTCTTCCTTCTGGGGAGGGACTAATGTTTGCCAGCCTCTCCCTCAGACAGCAGCGCCTGCGCAGTCCGGCTTCTAAGACTCCTGAACTCAGTAGCTGTGAGGTGCAGGCCAATCAGTTGGCAAACAGGAGGGTAAACTTTTTCAGTCTAGATCCTTTACCCCCCTAAACATGATTAGACAGTTGTTAAGAAGAGAGAGAGAATGTGTTGTGCTATGCCAAGCAAATCTCATGAAGATTACACATGCGCCGAGTGAGGATGTTTCCGTCAACGACAGGCGGCATATAGAGCCTAGGTGTGTAGCAGGCTGTACTATCTAGGTTTGTGTAAGTACACGCTGTTGTGTTCGCACAACGACATTGCCTAATGACGAATTTCTCATAACATTTCCCCGCCAAGTGACACATTTCTGTAATGTGCTGGCTGTGGCTTGTGGCAGGCCAAGGTAGACAAATGCCTTGTTAAAGAGCAGTGCTGACGGCCCCTACTCTCTTTTTGGTTGCAGGAATGGGGGAGCTCTACACCTGGGGTTGGGGTAAGTAAAGGGTTTGCTCTTGTGAAGCTTAAACCAAGGGGAGGAAAGACCTGGGAGCTGAGAGCAGGTGACAACAGCTATGCAGACAAGTGGAAGCAGGGGCCTCGGCCTGACCACTGGGAAGACCAGGGCTGAAAAGCTGTGAATTCCCTACTGTGGAACAGATCTAGGCAAACTCAGAAGGTCAGAGATCAGACAGGAGAGAAATAGGAGAGGATACCAGTACTTCCCATCTACCTTCCTGAAAAAGTATTTGTCTTAGGGAATATTTAGCCAGCGTTTATGAAGCATCTTTTGGTCTGGCACTGGGTAGAGAAAAAGATAACACAAAAATCTCTGCTCTGAGCATTTGGGCTTAGGAGCGAGGAACCTGGAGGTGCATCTTGTCTGGAGTGGCTGGTGGCCACTGCCTCTTGGGGACCTGTGGGCTTGCCTGGCCCTGGAGGCTCTGTGGTGCTGGTCTCCTGAGTTCAGAGAGCAGACAGCAGCAGAGTGGTGGCTTAAACTCAGCACTTCGGTCGATGGGCTGGTTTTCCTTCCTGGAGGGGAAAAGCCTCATGGCCCAGTGGAGAGGATGGCAAAAGGACTCGTTTCACTTTAGGTAAATATGGACAGCTCGGCCACGAGGACACAACCAGCTTGGATCGGCCCTGCCGTGTGGAATACTTTGTAGATAAGCAACTCCAAGTAAGGGCTGTGAGCTGTGGGCCCTGGAACACCTACGTGTATGCTGTGGAGAAAGAGAAGAGCTGACAGCCATAGATAAGGGCATGAAATAAATGTACAGTATAGTAAAAAATTGTAAAGCTAACACCTGTGAAACTCCCACCCAGGTCAAGGAAAACCGTTGCCAGCACCTCAGAGGCTCCGCATTGCCCCTTCCCATCACAGCCCTCTCGCTTCACCCTGGAGCAACATCCTCAGCTTTGTCCTCACATCAGAAACACCTAGAAAGCTTTAGAGACACATGTCCAAGGCCAGCACCGCAGACAGTGAGATCAGACCCTCTGGGTGTGGGGCCTAGACATGGATAGATTCTAAAGCACCCACCCCCCCGCCCCGGCCCAGGTGATTTTGAGGTAGTGCCAAGATTGGGAACCATTAGAGATCATCTTCTTTCGTTATCCACTTAACTGTTTTCACTTAGAATTGTACCACCCTCTTAGCAACATATTTTCAAGTACCGTGTCTGACCAGGCAAGGGAAACAATAGAAAAACAAATGGGACTACATCAAACTAAAAAGCTTCTATACAGCAAAGGAAACCATCAATAAAACAAAAAGACAACATAACAATTGGGAGAAGATATTTGCAAACCATATATCTGATAAGGGGTTAACATCCAAAATATAGAGGGCAGCCCAGTGGCATACTGGTTAAGTTTGCGCGCTCCGCTTCGGTGGCCTGGGGTTCGCCGGTTCGGATCCTGGGCGTGGATCTATGCACTGCTCATCAAGCCATGCTGAGGCGGCGTCCCACATAAAGCAACTAAAAGGATGTACAACGATGACATACAACGATGACATACAGCTATCTACTGGGGTTTTGGGGAGAAAAAAAGGAGGAAGATTGGCAACAGATGTTAGCTCAGGGCCAGTCTTCCTCAAAAAAAAATATCCAAAATATATAAAGAACTCATACATCTCAATGACAAAAAAAAACTAACAACCCAATTAAAAAATGGCCAAAACACCTGAACAGACATTTCTCCAAAGAAGATATACAGATGGCCAACAGGCACCTGAAAAGATGTTCAATATCATTAACTTATCAGGGAGATGCAAACCAAAACTACAATGAGATATCACCTCACTCCCATCAGAATGGCTATAATTAACAAGACAGGAAACAAGTGTTGGAGAGGATGTGGGGAGAAGGGAACTCTCATACACTGCTGGTGGGAGTGCAAACTGGTCCAGCCACTATGGAAAACAGTATGGAGATTCCTCAAAAAATTAAGAATAGAACTACATATGATCCAGCTATTCCACTGCTGGGTATTTATCCAAAGAACGTGAAAACACCAATGCGTAAAGGTACGTGTGCCCCTGTGTTCATTGCAGCGTTATTCACAATAGCCAAGACTTGGAAGCAACCTAAGTGCCCATCAAGGGACGAATGGATAAAGAAGATGTGGTATATATACACAATGGAATACTACTCAGCCATTTGTGACAACGTGGATGGACATTGAAGGTATTACGCTAAGTGAAGTAAGTCAGAGGGAGAAGGTCAAATACCGTATGATCTCATTCATAAGTAGAAGATAAAAACAACAACAAAAAAACACAGAGACAGAGATTGGATTGGTGGTTAGCAGAGGGGAAGGGGAGACGGAGAGGGGGAGGGATGATTAGGCACATGTGTGTGGTGATGGGTTGTAATTAGTATTTGGGTGGTGAACGTGATGTAATCTATGCAGAAATAGAAGTATAATGATGTACACCTGAGATTTATACAATGTTATAAACCAATGTTACCACAATAAAAAAAAATAAAATTGAACCACCCTTGTATGCATTATTATATGACGTAGTTTAGTTTGTCTGCTTTTGAACTTTAGGTAAATGGAATCATTCTGTGTATGTTCTCTTGTGTCTTGTTTTTTCATTCAACACTGTACAATCCATCTATGTTGTGTCCTGCAGTTCATTCATTTTTATTGTTATACGGTATTCCATTGTATGAATATACCTCGTTATATATTCTTTTGTTGATGTTCATTTTTTTCCTTGAATTAAAATACATAATTTACTATCTTAACTTTTTTAAGTGTACAGTTCAGTGGTATTAAATACATTCACATTGTTGTGCAGCCATCACCACCATCCATCCCCATAACTCTTTTCATCTTGTAAATCTGAAACTCGACACCTATTAAACCATAACTTCCAGGGGCTGGCCCGGTGGCGTAGTGGTTAGGTGCACGCACTCCGCTGCGGTGACCTGGGGTTCTTGGGTTTGGATCCCGGGTGCGCACCAACGCACCGCTTGTCTAAGCCATGCTGTGGTGGCGTCCCATACAAAGTAGAGGAAGATGAGCACAAATATTAGCCCAGGGCCAGTCTTCCTCAGCAAAAAGAGGAGGATTGGCATTGGATGTTAGCTCAGGGCTAATCTTCCTCACAACAAAAGCTAAAAAACAAAAAACAGTAACTTCCCATTCCCTCCTCCCCCTAGCCCCTGGCAACAACCATTCTACTTTCTGCCTCTATGATTTTGACTACTCTAGGTACTTCACATAAGTGGAATCATACAGTATTTATCTTTTTGTGACTGGCTTATTTCACTTAACATAATGTCCTGAAGGTTCATCCATGTTGTAGCATGTGTCAGAATCTCCTTCCTTTTTAGGCATGACAAATATTCCATTGCATATATATACTGCATTTTGTTTATCCATTCATTGGTCCATGGACACTTGGGTTGCTTCCATGTTTTAGCTATTGTGAATAACGCTGCTATGAACATGGGTGTACAAATATCTCTTTGAGACCCTGTTTTCAATTCTTTGGGGTATATACCCAAAGTGGAATTGCTGGGTCATATGGTAATTCTATTTTTAATTTTTTGAGGAGCCTGCATATTGTTTTCCACAGCGACTGTACCATTTTACATTCCTGCCAGCAGTGCACAAGGGTTCTAATTTTTCCACATCCTCACCCAACACATTGTTTTCTGTTTTTTTGATAGTAGCTGTCCTGACAGGTAGTATCTCATTGTAGTTTTGATTTGCATTTTCCTAATGATTAGTGATGTTGAGCATCTTTTCAGTGCTTATTGGCCAATCATATATGTTCTTTGGAGAAATGTCTATTCAGGTCCTTTGCCCATTTTTGAACGGGGTTTTTGTTGTTGAGTTTTAGGAGTTCTCTATATATTCTAGATGTTAATCCCTTATCAGATATGTGATTTGGAAATATTTTCTCCCATTCTGTGGGTTGCCTTTTTCCTCTGTTGATAGTGACTCTTGATGTAAAAATTTTTTAGTTTTCATGAAGTGCAGTTTGTCTATTTTTTCTTTTGTTGCCTATGCCTTTGCTGTCATACTCAAGAAATCATTAACAAATCCAATGTCATGAAGCTTTTTTCCTGTGTTTTCTTGTTTTAGGTCTCACATGTCTTGATCCATTTTGAGTTAATTTTTGTATTTGGTAAGGGTCCAACTTCATTCTTTTGCATGTGGATATCCAATATTCCCAGCACTATTTCTTGAAAAGACTGTCCTTTTCCCATTGAATGGTCTTGGTACCCTTGTCAAAAATTATTTGACCATATATGTGAGGATTTATTTCTGGGCTCTCTATTCTACTCCATTGATGTATATGTCTGTCTTTGAGCCAGTACCACACTGTTTTGATTACTGTGGCTTTGTAGTAGGTTTTGAAATCAGGAAGTGTAAGTCTTCCAGTTTTGTTCTTCTTTTCCAAGATTGTTTTGGCTGTCTGGGGTCCCTTGAGATTCCATATGAATTTAAGGATGGGTGTTTTCTATTTCTGCAGAAAACACCATTGGGATTTTGATAGGGGTTGCATTGAATCCGTAGATTGCTTTGGATAGTATTGACGTTTTAACAATATTAAGTCTTCTAATCCACGAACGTGGGATGTGTTTCCATTTATTTATGATTTTTTTTTTTTTTGACTGGGAGAGATTTGCCCTGAGCTAACATCTTTGCCAGTCTTCCTCTCTCTCTTTTTCTCTCCCCAAAGCCCCAGTACGTGGTTGTATATTCTAGTTGTAAGTCCTTCTAGTTCCTCTGTGTGAGCAGCTGCCTCAGCATGGCTACTGACAGACGAATGGTGTGGTTCCGCACCTGGGAACCGAACCTGGGCCACTGGAGCAGAGTGCGCTGAACTTTAACCACTAGGCCATCAGGGCTGGCTCTATTTATGTCTTTTTTAAAATTTCTTTCAGCAGTGTTTTGTAGTTTTCTTTGTATGTATCTTTCACTTCTTTGGTTAATTCCTAAGTTTTTTTTTTTTTGATGCTATTGTAAATGGAATTGGTTTTGTAATTTCCTTTTCAGATTGTTCTGTTTGTGTATAGAAATGCAACTGATTTTTGTGTATTGATTTTGTATCCTGCTACTTTGCTGAATTCATTTATTAGTTCTAACAGCTTTTTTGTGGAGTCTTTAGGATTTTCTATATATAAGATCATATCTGCAAACAGATAATTTTACTTCTTCCTTTCCAATTTGGATGCCTTTTATTTCTTCTGTTGCCTAATGGCTCTGACTAGAACTTCTGGTACTGTGTTGAATAGCAGTGGTGAACGCTGGCATCCTTGCTTTGTTCCTGGTCTTAGAGGAAAAGCTTTCAGTCTTTCTCTGTTGGGTATTATGTTTGCTGTGGGCTTTTCGTATATGGCGTTTATTATGTGGAGATAGTTTCCTTCTTTTCCAATTTTGTTGAGTGTTTTTATCATGAAAGGGTGTTGAATTTTGTCAAATGCTTTTTCTGCATTAATTGAGATAATCATGCAGATTTTTTCCTTTTATTTATTTATTTTTTTTGGTGAGGAAGATCAGCCCTGAGCTAACATCCTTGCCAATCCTCGTCTTTTTTTACTGAGGAAGACTGGCCCTGGGCTAACATCTGTGCACATCTTCCTCCACTTTACATGGGACGCCACAACAGCATGGCCTGACAAGCAGTGCATCGGCGCGCGCCTGGGATCCGAACCCGGGCTGCCAGCAGCGGAGCACGCACACTTAACCGCTATGCCACGGGGCCATCCCCTCCTTCATATTGTTGATGTGGCATATTAAATTGATCATCCTGGCATTCCAGGAATAAATCCCACTTGTCATGGTGTATAATCCTTTTAATGTGCTTCTAAATTCTGTTTGCTAGTATTTTGTTGAGGATTTCTGCATCACTGTTCAAAAGGGGTATTGGTCTGTAGTTTTCTTATAGTGTCTTCGTCAGGCATTGGTATCAGGGTTATGCTGGCCTCAGAGAATGAGTTAGGAAG